CCTCAGCCTCCTGAGTAGCTGGGATTACAGGCACGCGCCACCATGCCCAGCTGAACTTTTGTATTTTTAGTAGAGATGGGGTTTCACCATGCTGACCAGGATGGTCTCGATCTCTTGACCTCGTGATCCACCTGCCTCGACCTCCCAAAGTACTGGGATTACAGGCTTGAGCCACCGCGCCCGGCCGCCCAGCCATCTTTTAATTGGACTGCCAAACTTCTTTCCCATAGCAGCTGAACCGTTTACATTCCCACTAGCAGTGTGTGAGTGTTCCAGTTTCTTTACATCCTTACCAACAGTCGTTATTTTCCTTTAAAAAAAAAAAAAAAAAAAGGCTAGGCCTGCTTGCTCACATCTGTTATTTCAGCACTTTGGGAGGCTGAGGCAGGAGGATTGCTTGAGGCTAGGAGTTTAAGACCAGCCTGGGCAACATAGCAAGATCTCCATCTGTATATTAAAACATAAAATAAAATATAGCTATCCTAAGTGGGTACAGAGTGATAGCTCATCGTGGTTTTGCTTTGCATTACCCACATGACTTACTTGAGCATCTTTTCATGTGCTTATTGACCATTTGTGTATCTTCTTTGGAGAAATGCCGGTCCTAGCTCATTCATTTTTCATTTAATTTTGGGGCATAGGGTTTTGCTCTGTTGTCCAGGCTGGAGTGGCGTGATCACAGCTCACTGCAGCCTCAAACTCCTGGGCCCAAGCAATCCTCCCACATCAGCCTGCCAAGTGGCTGGGACTACAGGTGTGTACCACCACACCTGACTAATTAATAAACGTTTTTGGGTGGGGCAGGCATGGTGGCTCACACCTGTAATCTCAGCAGTTTGTGAGGCCAAGGGCAGAACGAATGCTTGAGCTCACAGTCAAGACAAGCCTGAGTAACAGTGCAACTCCATCTCTATAAAAAAATTAAAAAATGTTCCAGGTGTGGTGGCTCTCATCTGTGGTCCCAGCTACTTGGGAGGCTAAGATGGAAGGATCACTTGAGCCCAGGAGGTAGAGGTTGCAGTGGGCTGAGATTGCACCACTGCACTCCAGCCTGAGAGACAAAGTGAGACCTTGTCTCTTTATGTCATCCAGATTGGTCTTGAATTCCTGGCCTCAAGCAGTCCTCCCCACTCAGCCTCCCACAGTGGTGGAATTACAGGCATGAGCCACTGCACCTGGACTTCCCTATTATTGAAATGGATATCTTTTTGTTACTGAGTTTTAGGAATTTTTTGTATATTTTATACATATTTAACCCTTGTCAGATATATGACTTGCAAATGTTTTCTCCCATTCTGTAGGTTGCCTTTTCACTTTCTTGATAATTTCTTGATAATGTCCTTTAAATGGCACAAAAGTTTTCCATTTTAATGAAGTGTGGTTATTTCCAAGTCTTTGATCTATTTTCAGTTAATTTCTGTATATGACATGTGGTGGGAGTCCAATTGTATTTTTTTGTTTGTAGAAATCCAGTTGTCCCACTACCATTTATTGAAGAGACTATTTTTTCCCCCATTGAATGGACTTGGCATCCTTGTCAAAATCAATTGGCCATTGATGTGTGGGATTATTTCTGGACTCTCAATTCTCAATTATGTGCCATTGGTTTATATTTCTGTCATTATGCTAGTACTGAACAACATGGTTGTCTTTGTAGTAATTTTTAAAATTAGGAAGTGTGAATCCTCCAACTTTTTCTTCTTCCAAATTGTTTTGGCTGTTGGGTCCCTTAAATTGCCATATACATTGTAGGATTACCTTGTTGATTTCTGCAAAAAGGAAAGGTAGGATTTGATAAGGATTGTGTTGAATCTGTACATCAAATTGGGGAATAGAACCATCTTAACATCATAACTACATTTTTTCAGGTCTTTTAAAATGTATTTGAGTACCATTTTGTAGTTTTCAGTGTACAAGTCTTTTCCCTTCCATGACTAGATTTATTCTCTCTCTTTTTTTTTCCTTTTTGAGATGGAATATCACTCTGTTGCCTAGGCTGGAGTGCAGTGGTGTATTCTCAGCTCACTGAAACCTCTGCCTCCCAGGTTCAGGCGATTCTCCTGCCTCAGCCTCCTGAGGAGCTGGGATTACAGGCATGTGGCAACATGTCCAGCGAATTTTTTATATTTTTGTAGAGATGGGATTTTACCATGTTGTCCACCCCTGGTCTCGCAAAATGCCAGGATTACAGGTGTAAGCCACTCTGCCTGGCCAGATTTATTCTTTTAAATGACAATTATCAATGGAATTGTTTCATAATATCCTTTTAGGTTATAGGTTATTTTTGTTACCTTATAAGAATAAAAGTGACCTGCAGCTTTTCTGAATTTATTAGCTCTTGTAGCTTTCTTATAGAAGCTCATGTCATCTGTAAATAAAGATGGTTTTCTCCCCTTCAACCGTTTCCTTTTTTTCCTTCTTGTCTTATTATTCTGGTGAGAAATTTCCACTACAGTATTATTTTTTTATTTTTTTTAATTACATAAAAAAACTTTTAAAATCTTTTTTTTTTTTTT